CCACCCGACAGATGATAAAGAAAATTCACACAGTTAGTATGGGTTTGGTTGCATTTTGATTATGTTCGTGTTTTCGTTCTCCGCCTTTCCTGTTTGAAAAACGTTTTTTAAAAGAAGGATGGGTGAAAAAAAATCTCTTTTGATTGCCACAACAGTTGAAACGTTTTATGTTCCAATGTTTCGAATTCGTGTTGTTTTTGTTTGTAAGTTTAGTTATGAGTTTTCCACTCGGCAAGACAGAAATTGCTCCTTCTTTCCTATCAAACATCTATCGTCCTGATCTCTCCTCCTTCTTTAACTTTTGTGTTTGTTACATGTACTCTCTTGTAACACCTCTAATCTTCTGCACTTATATCACCTTATTGTGTTGCAAGTGCCGTAAAACTCTTGCTAAAACTAAAAGAAGTTGGTCGGTCTTCTTCGATCCACTTAAGGAATGGAATGTATAAATAATATATATATGAATATATATATATAAAACAGTATAAATATATGTTTTGCTTCTTGTTGGCTTTTGAGGGCAAAGCTACCTGCTTGTGCTGCACAGTGTTCTGTTTGACCTTCCTTGTTCCACACGAGGGAAAATGCCATATATTTTTTAAACTGCAGCTTTTGCATTTAAGCTGTTATAATTAATTGCCTTGTGGGTTTTTATTTTGTTTTGTTGTTGAGTTTTTGTTTTTTGTTTTCTATTTATTTATTTTTTAGGGGGAGGGGTTAAACATATTTTGTTGGTTGTATTTTGTGTGGGTTTGGTTGGGGGTTGTTTTTTGGGGGGGTATTGGGTTTTTTTCTTCTTTTCTTTCATACTTTCATAAGGTGTTGCTTTTTTTTCGTATTGTATGGTTACACACACAAAGCATGACACACTATGGGGTTCAGTAAAAGTCTACTTTAGCCCTCCCTTTGAAACTCACTTGACCTACTTAGCAGCACATCCAGGGTGTCTCCACTCTCTGTTTGAGGCCCTGTTTGGGTTGCTGTGACGTCATTATATGGTCGTTTTTAAGGACAAGCGGGCTAACCCAGATTTTAGGTTTTCCAGAAATCTTGATCTACACCAAAAGTGGGTATTGCCCTACCTATAGGAGAAGTTTGGTTTCATTTGTGTGTGTATTTTCGTTTGGTTTATAGAGAAAACTCTCCTGGTCTTAAGGAAACCGAACAAGGGCCCAAATACTTTCGATTTTCTCAAAACAGCATTTTTCGAGATAGCCCCCTTGTGCTTAAAAGCGACCGTATGTGAAACATGCTTTTACTTTTAAGTACGTGGGTGTGTGGGGGAGGGGTTCAAGTAGACTTTTGTCAGGGGTTTTTGTTTTGTTTTTTTGCACTGGGGCACACAGTGTTTTGTTTTGTTGTTGGTGCACGTTCCAGGCACGTGGTCACGAGGTGAATGTCACAGGTTGCTAGTTTTTACAAATATTTAGTGTGTGTACGTATGTGTTGTATGTTTGGTTGAAAGGAGGAGGGGGGGGGGGGGGGCTGCAGCAGAGGTATTTGTGGTTAGAGCGTGTGTGTGTGTGTGTATGTGTAGCCTATGTGTCTGTAATTTTCTTCCCTCTAGATCTCGTTTGCGTCTCGTCTCAGCCTGCATTTCCTCTCTTTGTGTCTTTCTCGAATCATTCTTTGGTATTTATTTCATTTACTTTTTGTGTCCTTTTTAAGTTTGACATGAGATGAATGTCTGGTATTTTGTTGTTACTCTCTGAGTCTTAGATCATGTTGATGGGCCTCTCTCTACTCAATACTCGAAAATTATTATGATTATTATTATTGATTATCATTATCATTATTGTTGTTGTTGTTGCTGCTACTCAATATGTTGGTAATTTTTCCTGCCTAAAGATATTGAATTAGTTGTATTGATTTGTTTCTCTTTTTGTTTTGTCTTTGTCGTTTTTGATTTTCTTTTTCCATTTCATATTTTTGCTTGTTACCTCTAAGAAAATGCATAAGCCTAATTTGACATTTTCCTGCCTATGACTATGAGAAGCTTATTGGAAGCTTTAAGCAGAGCTTTGCTTGCCCATCTAGGTAGGAGGCTGTAGACAGCGGAGGTATTTTATTAGACTGACGGAATGTTCTTTGCTTTTTAAAATTTTAAACCTACTTGACTTTAAAAAACCAAGAAGAGCTCTGAAGTTTCTTAAATCCATGACCAGTTTGTCTCCATCTTTATGCAGTTGTGAGCGCCGTAAAAAAATACTAAAAGTGGGTAGTTGGCGGATGCTCTGGTGTGGTTTGCTTCTTCTTTCCTATCAAACATCTATCGTCCTTATCTCCCCTCCTTCTTTTTTGTGTTTGTTACTCTCTTGTAACACATCTATTCTTCGGTACTTTTGACCTTATTGTGTTGCATATGCCTTAAAACTTGTACTAAAGAAAGTGGCTATTCTCACCCGCCCGGAAGTTCTCGCAAGATCAACTCCTCCCCTCTTCTCTCTCTCTCTGTCTCTTTCTGAATACTGTCTATCGGTGTGGACGATCAAATTGAGCAAAACAAAGTTAAAAAATGATGTTAAAACACAAAATAAATTAATTTGGTTGTCTACAAAGATGCTACGGCTATTTAACTTTTCGAATCGAGCCGAACTACGCGGGTCGCCATTTTGTTTTGCCCGGAAATTCTCGCGCTACTCCTCTCTCTCTTTCTCTCTCTCTCTCTCCACTTCCCACAGACAAAATTGTACTCTTTTAGTTTAGTAGGCTACAGTTGTAATGGAACGTTTGTTCACGGCACAGAATTCTACAATTTTTCTGTTATCACAGTGTAGAATTCTGTGGTTTAGGGTGAACGCAAAATTTGGTGAATGCGCACCGGGTGAGAATAGCCACAAGACTCGCCTGCACTATTCTCACTGCGGGTGAGAATAGAGGTGGCCTTTACTAAAAACTAAAAAAAAAACTATTAAAACTAAAGCTAACTGTCTCCCTTTCCAAGTAAACGTGCGTAGAAATGCTGGCATCTGTGGTGTAGCAGTCAGGAACTTTGCCGATGAATGCAAGAGATGAGAGTTCAATTCTTGTGTCATCATCATCCAGTGCCAGATCTGCCACAGACATCGGTGATCATGGTTTTCCATTCTTTCCTTTGCTCGGATGCTCTCAAAAAAGCTACATTTCCCTGATCTTTCCCCGTTACCCATTTGTTCAGGTTCCCTAAGTATGTTGTTCTGGGCCTACCCCTGCCTCGCTTGCCCTCAATTTTGCCAGTGAGAGCTAGATTATCTAGATGTTGAAGACCCTTATGTGTGGGGAAACTTTTTAAAATCAAATATCTCGGTTTTTTCTGTTGGGACCTTGTATTTCTCTGTCTGTGTAGGCCCTGACAGGCAGGGTGGAAACCCAACTCCTAAATGATCTAAATTGTGTTGGTGGTTGTGTAAAATACTTTCATTTAACCCTATCCGTACGCCTTGAGGTCATTTTGTACCCTCAGTGTTGTATTCTTCACATTTTAGAATACTTCTAGTACGAAGATCTCTTTGAAACTTTCAGCATTTCTCAAAAAATAATTTTGATAGACTGCTTGGCAAAGCGTATGGATCGGATTAACAAGTAAATATCCTCTTTGGAAAGTGGTGGCACAGAGTTCCTCACGTCTTATGGATACGATAGGGTTAAGTAAGAAGCACCAACCCCACCCCCCAAAAAAACAACAACAACAAAATACAAACAAAACAAACCAACACAAGTTAGCAGGAAATAGCTGTACACTTATTAAATAGGTGTGTCTGTTTGTTTAGCTGTTGAAATGGACGGTACAGTGCCACTTTGTGAAGAAATTATGAGCACCAAAGTTTTGGTATTTGAACCTTTTTGTGTGTGATTCTGTCCTGTGCAGGGTGAGGATCATGCCGTCCACACTGAGAAAAAGAAGGACACGCCAAGTTCAGGTGAGATACAGCCTACATTTTGTTGTTGTTGTTTTTTGGGGGTGTTTGTGTGGTTTTGCTTTTTTAAATTTAAATTTGAAGACATACGTAATAACATCAAGAGACTAGCCCGGGATAGGGAAATATGGAAAATGTTTGTTCGTGGCCTATACCCTGGTGCAGGGTGAGAAAGGCAATGGTGATGATGATATTGACAATGATGATGGTGACAATGATGATGGTGACAATGATGGTCTGGTGATGATGATAGTGATGATGATGATAATATAACAATGATAATGATGGTGATGAAGATGGTAATGATGAGGATGATGGTGACGATGATGATAATGACGATGATGGTTATTATGATAATGATGACAATGAGATTGTGATAATGATGATGATGATGATGATTGTGATAAATACGATGATGGTGATGATGATGACAATGATGAAAATGTGAATGAAAATGTGAACCTAGTCTTTGATTGTCCTGCCTCCCCAGGGGTAGAGAAGAGGACACGCCAGGACACGTCCAGCTCGGACCGGCGACGGGGCCAACAGGACGCCACCACGCCGCCCGCCTCCAAAAAGAAGAAGACGAAGACAATCGACGTCGATCTGCCAGACGCCCCGCATGACGGTACGTCAAGAGTTTTTGTGATCTTTTTTTGGTTTGAGTGACACAGTGGTTTGATGTGGGGGTTATTTTTACTTGTTTTGTTTTGGTATGAGATACGTCGTGTTATATGTTTTTTCGACTTTTGTTTTGTTTTGGTATGAGTTACACTGCGGTGTGATATGTTTTTTCTACATGTTTTATTTTGGTGAGAGTTAAATCAGAAGATTACCAGCATCAGTGGTGTATCAGTAAGGTACTTTTCCATCACATTCAGAAGACCTGGGTTCGATTCCCATTGAAGGAGAATTTTAAGTGTATCTCGGTTCTTTCCCCTGGGATGTCGTATCCCTGTCAGCCCGGATTGAGCCTATCAAGCAGGTCAAAGCCTGTCTCCTAAATGACCTAATTTGGGTCAATGTAAGTGTGAAAGCTTATAATTAACCCCCTCCTCCTCCCAAAAATCAACAAACGAAAAAGAAAAAAACAAACAAACCCCCCCCCCCCCAAAATAGAAGGAAAAAATCCAACAAATAAGAAAAAGAAGAAGAAAAAGGTTGGTTTGTTAGCATCCATCAAAATCTTAGTTCTCTCTCCCCTCCCTCAGAGGTGCACCCGCTGCTGAATGTGAAGAAAGCACCGGAGAAAGGTCACTCGAAGAAGGCGCGGCCGCAGAAGTCCAAGTCGTCCAAGGTGGAGAAGTCTCGGCACAAAGACCGCAGCTCTCGTGGCGGGGAGGACATGGACAGCGAGAACACAGGTGGGTGCGGTCGGGGGAAGTACGACGTTGTACCGATACAGGTTGTATTGTAAATGAGTCGGCAAATGACATTGTACCAATATAGATGGGTGGGGAGGACATGGACAGCGAGAACACAAGTGGATGCGGACGGGGGAAGTACAACGTTGTACCGATATAGGTTGGTGGGGGGACAGGACGTTGGAGAGGTTGTATGTGAGTGGGGAATCACGACGTTGTCCCGATACAGGTGGGTGGGGAGGACATAGACAGCAAGAACACAGGTGGGTGGGGAAGACATAGACAGCAAGAACACAGGTGGGTGGGGAGGACATAGACAGCGAGAACACAGGTGGGTGGGGAGGACATAGACAGCAAGAACACAGGTGGGTGGGGAAGACATAGACAGCAAGAACACAGGTGGGTGGGGAGGACATAGACAGCGAGAACACAGGTGGGTGGGGAGGACATAGACAGCAAGAACACAGGTGGTTGGGGAGGACATAGACAGCAAGAACACAGGTGGGTGGGGTCAGGAAACGACGTTGTCCCAATGCAGGTGGATGGGTGGACGTTGTGTGGGTGGGGAAACGATGTTATATGACCTTATTGTGTTGTAAGTGCCGATGCGGAAACACGACGTGGTACCGTTACAGGTGTTTGTGTCTGGAAACGACATTGTACCGATACTGATGAGTGGGGGATACGACATTGTACCGATACTGATGAGTGGGGGATACGACATTGTACCGATACTGATGAGTGGGGGATACGACGTTGTACCGATACTGATGAGTGGGGGATACGACGTTGTACCGATACTGATGAGTGGGGGATACGACGTTGTACCGATACTG